TCTTGGCAGGGGGTTGGACTGGATGGCCCATGAGGTCTCTTCCAACTCTTTGATTCTATGATTCTAAGGATGAGGCAGGCTTCATTCCAGCTATGAAGTTTGAGGTAAGACCTCAGGTATTTTTTTAGTAATCAGAGGACTGCAGACCAGAATTCGCATTTGTTTTTGCGAAGGCAGCATCATAACAAGATGAGTCAGATAATGCAGCAACTTGTATGACATCAGTCTGGTAGAAATCTATAATGAATATGGAATCAAGCCATTGTGATTTAGTAAACATTAAGCAAATCTCTCCCAAAGCTATGATGATGGTCACTGGCTTCTGTTGGCAAACTCCCCTGTTTCTCATCCCAATCTACTTTGTAGAGATTTCACCAGATTAAAATGCAATGACCCCATTTTACACTGCATTTACAGCCAGAGTGGAGAATCTCCAGGCCTTCAGATCTTGTTGGACTCCACCATGAACCAGCTCAAGCTAAAACAGCATAGCCAATGGTCAGAGATTATAGTCCAACACCATATGGAAGGCTGCAGGTTGTGAATCTATGCCATCTGAACAAGGCAGAGACACAAACATGGCTTTACAATGTAAACAAAGTAAACTAGTGAGCTACTGCCATGACTGTTTATTACTATGGAATTTTTTTGTCTTACCTTTCCACTAGGAAATTCAGGCATATGCACACTTTTCTTCTTTTATCGTCACAATAATGGATATAAATGATAGATATCATTGCCACATATGGTGACAGTGAAGGCAACAGCAAGACTTTTCTACTTACATTGTGTGAAATCACATTTTGTTCTTTATGTTCCTAAAAGCTCTACTGAAGGCAGAAATGTGATTTTGAACTACTTCCACTGAAGTATTACAGAAAAACACGAACAAGTCAAGAAAAACATACTTGAGTTCCTGTAACTGTTCTTGGTTGTGCTTCTCTCTGTTATTTCTTCCATAAAGATTGATTGACTGATTAAATTATTTATGTTTTGCCTTTGGGCCTAAAGAAGGCCCTTTAAAGTAACATGTATTTTTAAAAACTTTAAAATATATAATATGAACACATTAGCAACAGACTAAATGGTGCCTGGTGAACTATAATTCACACAATTGCAATTCCCAAATGTCAGGGTCTATTTTTCCCAACCCCTCCAGTATTTTCCGTGGGCCATGAAAGTCCTGTATATGCCAAGTTTGGTTCAATTCTATTGTTGGTGTAGTTCAGAATGCTCTTTGGTACCTGGTGAACTATAATTCACACAATTGCAATTCCCAAATGTCAGGGTCTATTTTTCCCAGCCCCTCCAGTATCTTTCGTGGGCCATGGAAGTCCTGTATGCCAAGTTTGGTTCAATTCTATTGTTGGTGTAGTTCAGAATGCTCTTTGGTGCCTGGTGAACTATAATTCACACAATTGCAATTCCCAAATGTCAGGGTCTATTTTTCCCAACCCCTCCAGTATTTTCCGTGGGTCATGGAAGTCCTGTATGCCAAGTTTGGTTCAATTCTATTGTTGGTGTAGTTCAGAATGCTCTTTGGTGCCTGGTGAACTATAATTCACACAATTGCAATTCCCAAATGTCAGGGTCTAATTTTCCCAACCCCTCCAGTATTTTTCGTGGGTCATGGAAGTCCTGTATGCCAAGTTTGGTTCAATTCTATTGTTGGTGCATTTCAGAATGCTCTTTGGTGCCTGGTGAACTATAATTCACACAATTGCAATTCCCAAATGTCAGGGTCTATTTTTCCCATCCCCTCCAGTATTTTCCGTGGGTCATGGAAGTCCTGTATGCCAAGTTTGGTTCAGTTCTATTGTTGGTGTATTTCAGAATGCTCTTTGGTGCCTGTTGAACTATAATTCACACAAGTGCAATTCCCAAAAAGTCAGAGCTGAATCGGTTGGCGGTAATTCCAATCCCTTCATCCATTGTCCATACTCCCCCAAACATACTGTTTGTATCATTAATCACTATGCTTTAATTATGTTCAATTTGTAACAATGGAAATACATTCTGCATATCAGATGTTTACATTACAATTCATAACAGTACAGTTATGACGTAGCAACAAAAATATGGTTGGGGGTCACCACAACATGAGGAACTATATTTAGGGGTCATGGCATTAGGAAGGTTGAGAACCACTGGACTAGATGTTCTTGAAGACTTGCTAGAACATCCAAGTTTTCAGATCCCTATGGAAGGAGGACAGTGTGGAAGTTTGCCTGATCTCCCTGGGAGGGTGTTTCAAAGTCAGGGGCCCACCACCAAGAAGGCCCTCTCCCTCATCCCCACCAACCATGCTTGTGACAGTGGTGGAGGTGAAAGGAGGGCCTCCCCGGCAGATCTTATAAGATAGGCAGGGCCAGAACTGTTTAGGGCTTTGTAGGTTATAACTTGCACCTTGAATTGGGCCCTACAAATGGTTTAGATCTCACCTCCCAGGTTAAAATCTATAACATATGAAGGAGCAGTACCCGAGAACTCCACTCTCGAGTTGTTCTAGCAAGATGCTATATTTTGCTTCCTTACTATAGTTAAACAGTAGTCTTTATATTCCATCATTTTCACAGTTACCTTCAGGACTTGGCACAGTGACCATCTTTTACCCACAGTTTTTGTTAATCTTGTATTATTTCATCTCTCCCACTTTCAGCTTCTTCAAAATTTTGAAATAAAAATTTCTCCAAAAACTAAACCAGTTTGTGCCAAAACCCATGGACTCTTGACTCCTGCAGATGCCATCAACGTCAAATTTGCAGACAGAAAGTGAGAGAAGGGACTTCAGGATGCTCTCCAACATGACTTCTGACAGAAAGGTGCTGAAGATTCTCTAAGCCAGTAAGAGATTTCTGTAATCTCATTTTGGTTGCTTATCTAGGGGGGTTATCTCTTTCCTCAAACACCATGCCCCCCCCCCCCCGCCCCCAGAATATTAAGTATTCATTAAGATAATTCATTTTTTCTGGTGAGAATCCAGTTAATTCTGGCAGGCTTAGAAAGACAACAGACAAAACCAAAACAGTTAATCACATTTTTCCTTGGGTGGAGTACAAACAACATATCATTGCATTCCTTTCCCATGAGCCTCCCTAGCAATTACAAAATATACTTAAATCCCACAAAAAGACTGTGACCACTTTGTTACCTCCTCTCAACTTGTTTCCATTGTTTGGCAAATGAGGTGAAAAGAAGTGTGATGGCTATTCATGAGTTAAATGGTAACAAATTTACGCCTTCTGGATATAGTCTCTTATCATAAGGATTCACCCAGACTTCTCAGAGGCATAATCTGAGTGGAGGATAAACACTCCTCCACTGGAGGAGTGGAGGATAAACTGGTTTGAATTTTTTTTCTTCTCTTCAATGTCTTTTTTTTTTTTTTTGCAAATTATCACTGGCTAATACACATTTTGGTGCCTCAAATGTTAGCTATGTTTCTGGGTATATTTGACCTGTGTATTCCAAAAATGAAACCAGTCTCCCCCTATCAGCTCTAGTTTTGTGATACAGAATATATACTATATAGCAGTTTTCATCTGCTTGCCGATTGAAAATCATGACAACCATATCTAAGAAACTAGAGCTGATGCAGTCTATCCAATGCAATTTTCTCAGTCAGCACCTAAAATAACACCAGGAACAGTGTCAAAACCAAGACACCAAGAAAAATGTATGCATCTGCCACTTCCTCTAAGTTTTCATGATATAACAATAATGTTTCAAAAGTCACATGATTTTAAATATAAAGACAGTTTTTTTTAAAAGTAAAGACATGTACAAGCCCACTGGATTTTATTCCCTGAAAAACTTATTTAATAACATTGTAAGGGAGTGGGTTGCTGTGAGTTTTCTGGGCTGTATGGCCATGTTCCAGAAGCATTCTCTTCTGATGTTTCACCCACATCTATGGCAAGCATCCTCAAAGGTTGCGAGGTCTGTTAGAAACTAGGCAAGTGAGGTTATATATATGCGACTAAAAACTAATCAAAGAACATGAAAGGCACTGCAGACTCACTCAACCAGAGAAGTCAGCCATAGCAGAGCAGTTGATGAACCAACCTGAGCACAGCATATTATTTGAAAACACAGAAATGCTGGACCACTCTAACAACCACTATGTCAGGCTACACAGAGATGCCACTGAAATCCACAAGCATGTGGACAATTTCAACAGAAAGGAGGAACCATGAAAATGAACAAAATCTGGCTATCAGTATTAAAAAAAATTCTAAAATCAAGATAGTAAATAAAGAACAACACTCAGAAAACAGACAAAAATAAATCAGGCTCAGCTAATACCTCCCAACAAAGGATTCCCCCAGGCAGAAACCAGCCAGGTTTTGAAGCTGAAAGGCCATTCAGTGCTAATCAAAGTGGCCAATTGCAACATTCACACTTGCCTCAAGCAGACAAGAGTTCTTTCTCCCACCCTAGACATTCCACAGTTATATAAACTCACTTGCCTAGTTCCCAACAGACCTCATCACCTCTGAGGATGCCTGCCACAAATGTGGGTGAAATATCAGGAGAGAATGCTAGAACTTGGCTATACAGCTTGGAAAACTCACAGCAACCCAGTGATTCTGGCCATGAAAGCCTTCGACAACATGTAATACCCAAGTGATAGAAATAGTAAAAATAATTGTATATATGTCCATTTTAATAGACAGTTATTACAAATTTAGTTTTTCTGTACATTAAGTTTTTATTTTAGTAGTTTGACCATTTTTTAAATATAAAATAAAAGTGGTACATATACCATTCACTTTTATACATAGCTGTATTATTTTGTGCATGTTACTGCCCTCTCCAGGACAAATAGATAAATTTCATAGTAATGTTGCTTTTCAATGTTGCTTTTCAATGTTGCTTTTCTAAGCAATTTGTATAGCTAACGATAAGCAGACGTTTGAGTTGTCTGTTCATGAACTGGAATGCCACAATGTGACATTTATAAGGAAAAGTTTCCTAAGGACAATTTTCAGTAGTGAAGACATTATATGTCTTCAGTTTAATGCTAATGTTCATATTTTTAAAGACATGCTGGTTATGGGCATACCAGGAGAAAGATTGTGGAGCTTGTTTCCAAAAGGCCCCAAATCCCTTTGATTAAATTTTACAGGAATTGAAAAAAAAATGTGCCAAGGATATATATCCATTTGTTATAAAATGCATTTTTCCAAGCCCTAAACCAAATTGATTTGGTACATTTTGATATTTTTTTTTTTACTTTTAATTTTTTAAAATTATTGATGTAACACCAGAATCCCCAGTGGCATAGTGGGTTAAACCGCTGAGCTGCTGAACAGTGAGCTTCCGCTGTTAGACCCAGCTTCTACCAACCTAGCAGTTCGAAAACATGCAAATGTGAGTAGATCAATAGGTACAGCCCCAGCAGGAAGATAACGGTGCTCTATGTAGCCATGCCAGCCACATGACCTTGGAGGTGTCGATGGACAATGCCAGCTCTTCAGCTTAGAAATGGAGATGAGCACCAACCTCCAGAGTCAGACATGACTAGACAATGTCAGAGGAAAACCATTACCTTTACCTTAATGTAAGAGTTCACCATATCTTCAAACAACAGTATATACCATATTACAGACCATACACGCACCTGAAACCCATATCCCACACAAAATAAATCTTCTTCCCTGTGCACCCTTCTCCATAACTTCTGACACTGAAGTACTATAAAGCACTAAAGCCAATCCATCTATCCTTGTTCATAACCTAAACCTAAATTCCTAATGTTGCTCCTGTCACTGACTCTCCACTTAGATATGCTATGGCCAACTTCCAATTTTCCAAATACTTCTCATTGCTTTGAGTCCTCCTATTATTGGTTAGTTGGGTCATTAGCACACATTCTTGCATTCTTTCCCTCCAATCCTTTTTAGTTAAACCTTTCCCACATTTTCCGTCTTTGGCTATGGTTAATTGTGCAGTGGCAAAGCTACATTGGTATACCTCTTTGTCCTTTTGATTATTGTTTTTTCTATGTAAACCTAACAGACACAACCCTGGCTTTTAAAAATCTTATTATGTAGCATTTTATGTGTCTCCTTAGTTACCTTATCTCAAAACGCCTGTATGGTCTCACAGGTCTACTACATATGGAAGAATGTCTCTTTCTGTTTCCAATTCCCCCAGCAAATACTTTGTTGTGATGTATCTATTTTTGCCAGTGTTGCTGGGGTGATATAGCATCTATAAAACATTTTAGTTAGATTCTCCCTAACTGATCCAGAGAGTGTAAATTTGAATCCTTTATCCCCAATTATCCAATTCTATTGGTCTGTCTAGGTCCTTGGCCCAGGATATCATATCATCTGTCATTTTTATAGTTTTGATCTGTACATAATATTCTACTCCTTGCCAACAATGTGCTGTCACTTATAACACATTTTTCAATTCTTTTGGGTTTGTTGCCTTTTGGAAACAAACTGTACATTTGCATTAGCTATTTCATGGCACTGATGCGCCTTCATTTACAGTTACTTTCCATAATCTCAGCTTTGCACTAATATTCCAAATGTATGAGAATATATACAACTTTCTCAGGAATGTGTCCAACTTCCTCTCCTAATCTCTGGATATTTCGACCAGAAGAAAAAGTCATTCTCAAACAGAGAATACAAACCGACTTGCCTTCAGTATCTCAACCTGCTTTTGGCAAAATTTCTGCTTAAGTAGGGATCAAGCACTGATTCTCAGTTTGAATTCTTTATTGATCTGCATTTTGGATTGTTGCATTTGCTGTCTTTGTAAATTTTAATATTATTAGTAATCTTTTGTAAATTAATATTTCATCTATATATATAATAAAAGTGAAAATATATTTGTATGTATGTGTATATGTTTGTATCTGTGTTTGTGGGTGGTCTCCAAGACAACTTTCACATCAAGAGACCCCTATGCCTACCACCAATCATGGATCTTGAACAAAGTTGGCACATGCACACACACTCACCAACAGAAAATATGGCTGGGGTTTGGAGGGAATTGACCTTGGATGATGGGAGTTACAGTTCACCCACATCCTTATGTGATTTCTAATGGGAACATTCATAAAAAAAGAAAAGCAAAGAATGACTTTTCCTAATAAATAGCACTGCAAATTACCTACATACATTTGAAAGAAATAATAATTTCTGATAATGGATAAAGTATATGAACTACTTTGATTAATGCCCTTATTTGTCTCTTGGTTGTAATAATGACGTTACAATTTTTGGTTTTGTATTACACTGCTGCAGTAGAATTCAAATACATAACTGTGTTACTCTGGATCTATATTTTTAACACTACATGAAAGATGTTGGGTAGCATAAACTTTCATGGTCTTAAGTCTATTTCAACAAAGTAGACTTAAGTCTATGGGCCCTTCCACACAGCCCTATATCCCAGAATATCAAGGCAGAAAATCACACATTACCTGAGTGTGGACTCAGATAACCCAGTTCAAAGCAGGTATTGTGGGATTTTTTGCCTTGCCATTCTGGGATATAGGGCTGTGTGGAATGCCCCTATGAAAGCTTATACTATCAACTACATTCTCTAGTTAAGGTTTGTCTATACCATTGCTTCTTAAACTGTGGGTCCCGACCCCAAATGAGGTCCCCTTAGCTCATTGTTGGAGTCCTGAAAAATTTGGCAACAACAAAAGCCATATAGACATTTACACAAATTTGTTAACATCAATGTGCAGTGTTTATACTGGGCTCTGAAAAAATGCTTAAGCTGTACTTTATAAAAGGAAAAACCAGTCCGTTTAACAAGCCTTGCAAATGCTGATTTATTATCAGAAAATGTTTAGAATCATAGAATTATAGAATCATAGAGTTGGAAGAGACCACATGTGTTATCCAGTCCAACCCCATTCTGCCAAGAAGCAGGAAAATCGCATTCAAAGCACCCCCGACAGATGGCTATCCAGCCTCTGCTTAAAAACCTCAAAAGAAGGAACCTCTACCACACTCCAGGGCAGAAAGTTCCACTTCTGAACAGCTCTCACAGTCAATAACTTCTTCCTAATAATCAGGTGGAATCTCCTTTCCTGTAGTTTGAAGCCATTGTTCCACGTCCTAGCAGCAGAAAACAAGCTTGCTCCCTCCTCCCTATGACTTCCCCTCACATATTTATGTATTGCTATCATTTAATTTTATTGTTTACTT